ATAATTATTTTCAGATGATGCTTAACTAACGCTTGTTATGATTTACTGGTGGAAAGGGAAAATCTCTAGCAACACATGGTAATGGAATTAGCTGAATTAAGATGTGTGTGTGTGTGTGTGTGTGTGTGTGTGTGTGTGTGTGCGTGTGTGTGTGTGTGCGTGTGTGTGTGTGTGCGTGTGTGTGTGTGTGCGTGTGTGTGTGTGTGCGTGTGTGTGTGTGTGCGTGTGTGTGTGTGTGTGTGTGTGTGTGTGTGTGTGTGTTGGAGGACAACACCCTTCATTTCAGAGTAGGCTTAACCCACTGATGTCTTTGGAGAGGTTTGCTCTCTCTCCTAGAATGTTCTAGAATGTTTCCTTCCTTTAGAATCAGTTCTGAACCATAAAGAGCAATGACTTACTGATAGGCAGCATAAAGGTGTAGAAAAGGAATTAACAATCCATTTTTACCAATTTAATGTCTTTCCATGATCCTTTAAGAGATGACTTTAATTTTCCTCTTTTTCTGTGAAAGAAAATTCTAAATATTCTTGGTTTTAGCTTACTAATGATTTTGTTATTGTTCCCTTTAAATTGCTCAGATGAATTGTACAGTATCTTTTAGTCTATAATGTGTAGTACTTAGTTGAAATGATTTCAAATGATAGTCACTGCACAAGGTTACTTGAACAGCTCCAATGGTCCTTCCTCACCAAAATTGAAGTGGTCAAAATCAACCATTTGGAGACTTTAATTTCAGAGATGTCTGGGAGCATATAATGCTAACAGCGCTGTCTGTCCTTTCTCTGGTGTAGAAAATTTTAGTTTGGTTTCCAGTTCATTTTTTTAATTGCTAGGTGTCTGTTCAGAGAAATTTAATTTTTCCTGTTGGAGCATATTTTTTTTTAAGCTTAGTGATTCATAAGCCTGCCTTAGAGCTTGATATCTTGTCTGTCCTGAACAGTGGGTCTTCTTTTTCTCAGGAACTCTGTCTGTACAGTCAGAGATTTAGCTCAATGTCTTGTTTTTCACTAGGAAGGCACCATTTGCTGCCTGGAGCTGGTGTATAGCTCTGTGTTCCAGCTTGAAGAAGGGAGGGCAGAGCTGCCCTTGGTGACTGAGGCTCTGAGCTTTCATATTAGGAGACAAGACAGGCATTGAAAGGCAGGAGGATTCAGAGCATTAAATTGCTCTCTGAGTGAGAACAATTAGTGATGTAAGTGTATTCCTGAAAACGCATTGCTTGGGGGCAAGAGTACTTACAAGCACCATCATCCCAGCTAAAATCTCCATAAAGAGTTCGCAGTTTTGAAAAGTCATCTTCAGAGACAGTACTTATTGGAATTCATAGATAGAAGATAGAGTTTCATTTCGTGCTCTCTGAAATTAGCTAATGTTCTGGTCACTACAGCGCTTTTAAAAGTGGCCCCGATTCCCTAGGGCTCTCACAGAGGAGAAGTGGAGGATGCTACAAATGTGAGGCTACTGGTGATTAAGTCAGGGTTGCCACCAGGGTTTTTTTTCATATACAACATATAATATTTGCCTTTCTTTTATGTTCAAGGAATGAGCAAATGCTTTCAACATAATAAAAATGCAATATAGTTTTTACTCCTAATTTTAAAATATGAAACAAGTTTTAAACAGCATTTTCATCTGATTTATTTAATGAATCAGAATTCATTTTAATAAGCCCAAGAAAGTAGAAAGATGGCTGATGTTTTTTGATAACACACTGACATGGAAATTACCATACAACTGTCTGTATTATGTTTCTTGATTTATTTTTGTAAATATACAGCACAAGGAACATATATTCAGATGAATGGGTATCTATACATTTAGGAAAAAGATCATATTTTGCTGAACCACCAACACTTGTGGTTTAACATGGTTTTAGCTTTTTATTTTAATTGTATTTAAGCATGGTATTTTATAAATAAATATGATACACTTTTTAAAATATTTCAGTGATTTAACACTTTATGTAGAAAATTCCCAGTGTTTCCAATATGTAGACCTTATGTGCCACTGTTGATAATTATTTCTATTTGAAGTTTTCAGTGGCCTTCTGAAAAAATTGAAATAGTTCAAAAATTTACCAAGTGCTTCAAGAAGTATAGGGATCAAAAATCATTATAAATCATTTTGCAAAACACCACATCTGTAGCATTTCTAAAATGCTTCTTTCAACCCTCAATTCATTGATATGTAGATATATATTTTACACACTGATATTTTGAATATCACTATATTAATTTCATTTTTAAAATCACTACATTAACTCATACTTTACTGGTAGTTCAATGCTTTATCATAAACCGACTGGTAGGTTGAGAAGGGATGTAAAGGGCTGTTTCACAGCACTGCAAGCTTCAAAGAAGTCTGGCTGTAAATAGACAGATGTATGCCAGATATTGAACCCATCCTGTGGGCTAAGGCGTGAACTGTTCTGATTGGCCAGACTACTGTCCCACCTTCATGAAAGCCAGGAGGGGTGGGGTTAAACCCAGCCAATAACCTTGGTCTGAGAATATAGAAGGATGTGTTGAAAGGAAAATAGCTGCGTTATAACAACAACCACGAAAACAATGGAGAAATGGGTGCCGAGTGGGCAAAGCCAACAGATGTCTGCTCGGTTAGGAAGTTTTGTCAAAATTTGCTAAACATCAAATAAATGTACATCTTTTTAAATGCTTTGTGCATTTCTTATGAGAGTGTTTTGGAGTATCAATGCCATTTTCCTTTTACCAAACTAGAAACCAAAGGTGAAAGAAAATGTGTGAATCAAAGAGAATCTCCAGCCAAAGCAGAGCTGGTTTTGTAAAGTTACTTTAAGTTCTCTGTCCCTAAGGACTGTTGTTTCCTTTGAGCTCTTAGCCTTGCAAAATTTGACACTAACTTATTCACCCATTATTGCTTCCTGTCATAAGGTCTTACCCTTCTTACCAACTAAGGTTCTTTAGAGCGGAAACTGGGTATTTAGTTTCTTAATTCTCCATTACACATTGCTTGGCTTATAAAAGACACCACATAAACTCTTGGTTACATAATTTTTGTAAATTGGAATAACATTCCCGAGTACACTAGTGCAAATTACATTACAAGAGATGGGATTGCACAACTTTCTTCCATATCACAGAAGTAACTCCAGCCTATTCCAGCAAGTCCTTCTTATTAAAGTTATTAATTAATATTTTCATAGTCTTATTTGATCCAAAACATTTTAAATGTATCATTTCAAAAAGATTGCTCCCTAGATATAAATGTCATGCATGATTTCAGGAGATGGATGAGGAAACAGAGGCAGCATCCAGTGGAAGCTGGTGGTGTCTTACCAGCTCCCACAGTGAGTGAGGAAGGTTGGGAGAAATGACCATTTCTATCCTTACCACCACTGCTCATACCATCTCTCACCAACATCTCAATAATACATAGAATCTCAGTTCCGGGATTACTGGGATATGTATTATTGGTATGTTGTTGATAAGAACTAAGAATATAACAAACTTAAAAATGGACATAAGTCTACGGCTGGGAAGTTTACAATGTGGGCAAGATAAAGGCTGAACAAAGGGCATTTACCGTGTCCCAAGGAACTGAGGGATTTCTTCCTTGTCATGGTTTCTTCCTGGGTGGTAAAAACCAAGTGTGTCTGTGCCTAGAGAGGAGAGAGTCAACTCCACAGGAAAGGCCCAACTCTTCAAAATGGGATCATGTCACTGCTCCTCAGGAGCAATAAGGCCATCATGCCTTGGTGGAACAGAAGACTTTTGCTCTTTATGCCTGGCAGTAAATACCTGACTGAGTGAATCTCAGTTACCATGGTCACAAGGTTGAGGACATTGATTTCCAAGGTGGGAAATGTAGAGGTGGGCTGGCCCAAGTCATGCTAGTCTGTGGGTACAAATGCAGCTACACGGGTGGTTATGTTAGTGTCCTGGGACTTCTGTAAGACAGAGCCCACACTCTGGGTAGCATTAAAAAACAAATTTGTGGTCTCCTAGCTCTGGAGGCTGGAAGACCAAGATCAAGGTTTCACCAAGGGGGTTCCTTCTGAGGGATGGTTTCCTCCATACCTTTCTCCTGGCTTTTGATGGTTTGCAGTCAGTCTTTGGCATTCCTTTGGCACACACTTCTTCACCCTGATCTCTGCCATCATGTTCATGTGGCATGTTCCCTATGTGCATACCTCTGGTCCAAATTTCCTCTCTTTGTAAGGACACCAGTCATATTGGATTAGGTCTATTCCCAGGATGACTTCATCTTAGCTATATCTGCAACCACCCTTTTCCAAATAAGGTCAACTTTTGATGCACTGGGCTTCAACACGTGAATTTTATGGTGGCACATTTCACCTATATATAACAATACTAAAACCCCACATTTTGCAATCACTTTTCCCAATCCAGATGAGATTGCCTGTCTTCTCCTCCCTAATCTTCTGCTAAGTCTGCTCCAAGTGTTTCTGGGAAACTATTCCCAAATGAATAATGTGCTCTCAAACTCATTGGTTCAATGCTGCTTTCTCCGTTCTGCCACCAACCTGGCATCGGAGGATCTCTGCTCCTACCCTGTGGTAAAGCTTCTGTTTTGAGCACCAGTGCCTGTGGCCTGCATCTCACTGCCCACGAGGCTTGGCACTATGGCACACTACAGTGGAACTGGGTCTGGTCTGTGTTTTCCAGAGCACAGGGCAGTTTTCTCTTCTTTGACCTTCTGTGCCATCAGAGTCTCCGAGGCATGAAGACCTACATGGCCATGTCTCATGAAGCATCTAGAGAACACAGGTAACTGTGCTACACTGGCACTGGCTGTGTCCATTGAGCATGCAGGCCCATGATCAGTCAGCCTTGCCTGCTTTCCTCTGGTAGGAGCATGTGCTCTTTTGTAGAATGTTCCTAGATCTTGTTTGCAAATGGTGTTTAAACAGCCCTTCCTCTATCATTCTGTCAGAAACCCTTCAGGCAATTCCAGGCACATCAGAAAGTGATACCATCTATCTTTGGGTTTTATTCCCTCAGGTCTCCATGTTCCACTGAGTGACCCTTTCTGAGATCACCCAGAATCTTCATATTCTTCATCAAGGACAAAACCAACATCTAGGTTTGAATCTGGTCATCTCCACAGGAAACAAATCAACAGACGGTTTCTCTAATATGATCTGTACGGTTATTTGAATTTTAGAAGAAGAAAAGGCCATGGAGGATAGATAGGAATCTTTAATGTTGTATTTGGGGTGCTGTGGCACCTTGAGATGGGAAAATGTGGGTGCTCCAGTGCTTGTGTATGTGCACATGAAAGATGTAAGTGTGACTTTCCCTCAGATTCCTAATTTGGTGTCACTTCTCTCCCCATTGTCACTTCTAGCAGTTTTCTCACATTTTTAGCCACTGAGTTATTTCTTTTTTTGGTTTTTTTGAGACAGGGTCTCACTATGTATCTGAGACTGACCTGGAACTCACTATGTAGCCTAGGGTAGTCTTGAACTCACAGCAATTCTCCTGCCTCAGCCTCCCGAGTGCTAGGATTACAGGCACGAGCCACCATGCCCGGCACCCACTGAGTTATTTCTTCAGGTGAAATTTTCTACGGATGGAGAGAGAGGCTATAATATAGGTTCTGGACGAAACCTTCCAGATTTCAGTTTTAGCTGTTGTATTCCTCAGCTGGGTAACTATGGTCCGTTTCTCTAAATTCCCTGTGCCTCAGTTTTCCCATCTGTGAAACAGGAAAAACACTGAGCTTAGCTCACTGTACTCTGACATGCTTGTAGAGAGTTCAGGGACAGTGACTCTCCAGACAGCTTGTGGATAGTGGGTAGATGCTGGTGAGTTCAGCAACTCAGGAACATTCCTTTCACCTTTCAGAAGTGAACCTTTGCTTGTTAAAAATTTTAAGGCAGGTATCAGATAACAAGTGTATTCATGAATCACAAAATCTCTTCATAGTTTACATTGTTCTAGATCAGCCTCTTGACCTGTCCTTGATTAGTTATAGTTGGAAACTCTCATTCACTACAACACCGAAAACTCAGTGCCTGTGGGCTCAAGCCACATGACATGTTTGTATGAGACACATTCCTGTCCAGAAGATGGAGTGGGGTCATTTGAGTCACAGCTTTGTGAATGATTTGGATACTCCTGTATTTACATAAGGATTAAGTTGATATAGAAACACTGACATTGAAATCAGAAGAGCCTAGGCTTTAACCAAGTGAAGGCATCAAAGAAAGGAAATATCACCAATGTTTTGGGGAGAATGACTGTGAGCTCTTGGGGAGGGGACATCAATATTATTTCATATTATAAAGAAATAGTGCTTATCTAGTTGGGCCCAGAAGACAGTTGAGAGGTAAAATTAGTGGGTTTGGTGACAGACCCCATTGTGAAACTGTCTTTATCTCATGCTCGACAGATGTTTCAGATAGAGGTGATAAGATGAACAGATTGCCAAACTAAAACCAAGGTAATATCTCTCTTCAACACATAAAAATATTTTGATAAAAAAAGAACCAACAGGAAAGGCAGTCAGGCATGTTCAGAATCACAGAAGCATCAGGAAAGTTAGAGAAAGCATCTGGGGAAGGCTCATTTATCTACTGGTTGAAACTTGGAGGTTGATCATAGCTCAGATTTAACTAAGATGAGAGATGAATGACAGTTGTACACACAGCAGCCTAGGCGACAGTTACAGTAGGAAGGTTGGAGTGAAGAGTATAAGTGACAGTGTGTCTGGACCAGAGTTTAGCTGGCCATGTTGGATGAGGCCCTCGCAGTCCTTGAGAAACTGGTGATCTGCATGAAGGGACAGGACAGCAAGCACATGGCATGAGTGTGGAGCATAGACTCAACTGGAATATTACTTCACACTTGGGGAAAGTGGGTGTAATTTGAGGAAAATGCTACTCATAAAAACATGCATGCTGCCAGGTTTCATAGTACACCTGTAACTCCAGCTACCTGGGAGGCTGAGGCAAGAGGATTACAAATTAGGGCCTAGCCTGGGCCAGTTGGTAATACCTTGCCTCAAAATAACAAAATAAAAAACTGGTGATGTTGTTCAGTCCTAGGACACCCCTGGGTTCATTCCCCAGTACTGGGAAAAAAAATAAACCAAACCAAAAACAACAACAACAACCATGCATGAATGTATATTTGATTTTCTGTTTGAAAAATAGAGATCTCAAGGCCCATCCCAGACCTTCTGTATCAGGGGTTGTGATCCTGGGATTCACATTATTTAAAAGTACTCCTGTGGATTCTGGTATGGCCCGTTAAGGGCCAAGGCCTGGAAATCAAAACTCTAGTGGACTCTAAAATGTAATCTAAAATATCAGAAATGATATATTGTTATATGCATATTTTCAGCAAGACTTGGCTGTGCTGTTTCATTATAGCTTTTAATAGATGTATTCTATTTGCATAAGCATCATTTTCACACTTATTAGAAAATAATTTCAAATTTAAAGATGTTAAAAATTACACAAATAATACATATGTATCTTTTAGTGTATACATTTTTATCATTTGTTTTATCTTTTGTATTTTCTTTCTCCCTCCCTCTCTCTCCCTGTCTCTCTCTCCCTCTCTCCCTTTCCCTCTCTCTCTCTCTTTGGGGCTAAATTACATACATCGTGGCCCTTTCTGCCTAAATTTTTCATGGAATAGGAATAGGAATATTCTCTTGCATAACCACTGTACATGTACCAACTTCAGTAATTTTGACATTGACGAACTTTATCTAACCTAACATTTGTGTTTCAATTTTGTCTGTTAACCCAATGATGTCCATGACAACATTTTCTGCTCCAGCAGAGTTTCCCTCTAGGGTCACTAGTGCATTTAATTGACCTGTCTCTCTCTTTCACTTCCTATATTAGCCTGAAATAGTACCCCAAATTTCTTTGTTTTAAGCCATTAGCCTTTTCTTTTCGTTTCTTTCTTTTTGTACCAGGGTTCAAACTCAGGACCTTGTGCTCGCGAGGAAGGCGCGGCGCCACATTCCATTAGCATTTTCATTTGGGGCTGTTCTCATGTTGCCATGTGATTATGTTCAGGTTAGTCTTCCATGCTGAAATCCTACATGGTGTTGATGTGTTCTTCTCAGGGTATCATATCCGGGATACTTGATGGCCATGTAGTCCTCTTTGTTGACCTCGATATTGGTTAGCTGGGTAAAAGTGGTATTTGACATCCTCACTATTTAATCATTTTTATTCTCCCTTGCAACTAATAAAGTCAATGGAAAAATATTTTAAGACCAGAGGACTATCTTGATTGTCACCACAAATCTCCTCTAGATTTAATTTCATTGAGAATTCCTGCCTGATCTAGTCTTTACTATTATGATTACAAAATGTAAATTTTCTAATTCTGATACTCCTTCCACATCATACCCATCAGAGCTTAGCATTTTACTATAGGATCCATTCCTGGGTCTATTATTGGTATTTGTGAAGTCTTAAATTCTGATACTCCTTCCACATCATACCCATCAGAGCTTAGCATTTTACTATAGGATCCATTCCTGGGTCTATTATTGGTATTTGTGAAGTCCTAATTATCAATAGTTCATTACTCTATGTAATTATTTTGATGCTTAAATCATCCCAAGTTTTGACAGTAAAACCTTTTTGAGTGGCTCTTATGTCCCTGGTTATAACCCCACTAATTCTGGGTACTTTTTACTTTCTAGCTTATCTTGACTCTATTCTGCCCTATCCCTGGAATTATCTGTTTCTTGGAAGGGTCTTAGCTCCTTTAGTGGGAAATGGCACTAGCACTAAATATCTGAGTACAGTTATCCCTCCTTGTCCCTTGGGGAATATATTCCAGGACCCCCAGCAGAGGCCTACAACTGTAGATAGTATCAAGTCCTCTGAATACAACTGACCTAGCAACCAAGGTGACTACTAAAGAGATCAATGGAAGGGTAGCATATATAATGTGGATACACTGCATAAAGGGGTAGTCACATCTTCATTGGGACAGAAAAGATTTCATTACTCTATTCAGAGCAGCATGCATTTTAAAACTTATGAATTGTTTATTTCTGTAGTTGACCAGAGGTAAAAACTGAAACTGCAGAAAGTGAAGCTAAGGTTAAGGTGGGACCAGTCTCACTAGGTGTGTTAGTGGAGAATCTCTTGTTCAGTGATAGAAAATATATCTCTGTGTATGTATCTTTTTGCATATATGCAAATAAACACACATACAAACATTTATAAAGCACATGTTATAGAATATAAAATCATAATTTTGTGCCTATATCTGTCTCTGCAGCATTTTTCTTGTCCTCTTCCATTATGTCTTGGTGTATTCCTTTTTTCCTCAGCAAGAACCTCGGCTCCCATCAACATGAGCACATCACACATTTGCTTAATCTTTCAGCAAATCTACGACTGTGTCAGAATTTCTTCTTTGCTCGCTCCCCAAACCTATATCCATGACAAGATCTTAACCTACTAAAGAGTGGTCAGGATTTGGTTGCAGTTTTCTTGCCTCTACTCCATTCCACTAAAGAGTGAGGTTTGTGGTTAAATACAGTGCATAAAGTTACTTGGATTTTCCTCCCTACTTCTCTCTTTCCCTTCTCCCTTCTCTCCTTTCTTTCCATCACCGTTCTCTCTCTCACTGTCTTCCTTACCTCCCCCTTTCATGGTAGTGATAATCATTTGAAATATACTTTTTTTTTGTTTTTTCACTTTGCTTTGGGTTTTCATTTTTTTCTCCTCCCCATTCTTACTGATTCTGTTTTATTTTTGAATATGTAGACTATTAACATGTGTTCAGAAGTTAAACTATAACAAGAAATGTACCTATAAAAGATCAGTTCCCATTTTCCCTTCTTACCTCGCTTCCTCACCTTCTCTCTCTCTCTCTTTCTTCCCCCGCTCCTTTCTGGTCCTGAGTATTGAACCTAGGGCCTTCACATTGAACGACACTCTAGTCCTTTTTAATTTTTAATATTAGACAGGGTCTCACTAAGTCACTAAGTCACCCAGGCTGGCCTGGAACTGGCAGTCTTTGTACCTCAGCCTCCTGGAATGCTGTGATTGTAGGTCTGGGCCACCATGCCCAGCTTCCTCTATGTCGTCTTACAATCACTACCTCACCCACAAAATAATTTCATTCCTATTATTTTTAATATCTCTGCTTATGTTTTTCTACAAATAATCTACTATTATTTTTGATTTTCCC